GTGAGGGTGCTGTTTGTGAGGGTGCTGTGTGTGTGGGTGCTGTATGTGTGTGTGGGTGCTGTATGTGTGTTTGTGCTGTATGTGTGTGGGTGCTGTGTAACTCTCGGATAACCATCTAAGGGAAGCCACGACAGGGCAATGAAGAAAAATAAAAATTAGTTTAAATAAGCCTCCTTCAGATCCGATTGGCCGTAACCGGCCTTTCACCTCAAAACGTGTGTGCGTGTCTTTTGTGTGACGTCACACGCATGTTGACGTCGTCATTACTGTGGGCGGACGTGGGGCTATAAAATGGTGTGGATCCACAGTGACTGGCGTCCACCGACATGTCAGATATACTGGTGTAGGGCTGCTGAGTGGTACTTCCGTTAATGTCAGGAAGGCAGTTACTATCGCAGATATCACAAGGTGAGAATAAATATGTGACAGGTAGAAAATAAGAGAACCTATGGATGAAAGTATAGGTAGAATATAGAGGGACAAGTATAAAAGAATAGAACGGAACGGAACAACAAGGTCACAGGAAAATAGGAAAATCAGTCCCCTATTGGAAATAACACCTTGCAATATCAGAGGTAAAGTCCAGATTGGTGTTATGCAGGTTGGTATAAAGCTGGTTGGCAGGATAAAGCAAAGTAGAAGTGTAGGTTAGGCTGGTTTGGAACAGGTTGTTATGAAGCTGGTTAGCAGGATAGAAGTGTAGGTTAAGCTGGTTTGGAGCAGGTCGGTATGAAGCTGGTTAGCAGGATAGAAGTGTAGGTTAAGCTGGTTTGGAGCAGGTCGGTATGAAGCTGGTTGGCAGGATTAAGCAGAGTAGAAGTGTAGGTTAGGCTGGTTTGGAACAGGTTGGTATGAAGCTGGTTAGCAGGATAGAATTGTAGGTTAAGCTGGTTTGGAACAGGTTGTTATGAAGCTGGTTAGCAGGATAGAAGTGTAGGTTAAGCTGGTTTGGAGCAGGTCGGAATAAAGCTGGTTGGCAGGATTAAGCAGAGTAGAAGTGTAGGTTAGGCTGGTTTGGAACAGGTTGGTATGAAGCTGGTTAGCAGGATAGACGTGTAGGTTAAGCTGGTTTGGAACAGGTTGGTATAAAGCTGGTTAGCAGGAAAGAAGCGTAGGTCCACAGGAATGTTTTCAGGAGCCAAGAACCAAAGTCTTTCAGGATGAGCATCAACTTCATTGTAAAGACCCTGTGGTAAGTTGGGTGTAGCCTTTTGTAGCTTCTTGATTAGTCCAGTCAGGTGAGGATGATTAAGGTGAAATCCAAGGTTAGTGGTTAGGGGGGCCACTAGTGGTGCAGATCTGGAACTAGTTATAAAAAAAAACAGGAATAAACAAACATTAACTTAGTTGTCAGGATAGGATCCTGACACAGTAATTCCGAGATACATTAAAAGTGCTGACATGCACACCTTATAGGTCACTTCTCCACACATACATATTACATATGTAGATACACACATGTACAAATTAGAAATTCACATCGAGGAGAGGTTCTGTGGGGGTGTGGGTAGAGCAAGGACAGGGGACACAAGTGCCCCTATAGTTTGTGAGCCAAGGGCAGCAAAACCTACATTACTACCTAAGCCATCTATTGAGAGCAAAAAGGGCAAAAACAAGAATATGTTTATCATCTTGTGATCCAATTAATGGATGTTCAGGGATCTTTAACAGCCAGCATTCACCTGGGTCAGTCAGTGGGTAGAGATGTCGCGAAACGTTCGCGAACTTCCAACGAACGGCTCGCCGCGGTTCGCCACGAACCATTCGTGGCGAACTCCGGTCAGCTGACATGGATGCTGTCCAGGAGGTGGGAGGGTCTGGGAGGGAGGGTCTGCTGGAGATTGGCCGGGATGTGTCAGCTGACCGAAGTTCGACGCGAATGGTTTGTGGCGAGCCGTTCGCTGGAAGTTCGCAACGGTTCGCGACATCACTATCAGTGGGTAATATTTTAATCAGCTGTCACTGACACATGGGAAATGGTGTATTTGTGTTTTTGTGCTCTTAAATTCATCAGGTCACAAACACAGCTAAAATGTAATGCACTCTGCGGGAAAGAAACTCGTAATGCTAATGCTCTGTTTCTGGACAGAATAAATTATAGTTTGGGTGTGAAAAGCGAATTATAGTGATTATTGGGAGTTTCCTTGACAACGAGCTGGGTCTAGAAGTTATTTCAGGTCTGACGAGGTGCAACGATTTCAGCTCATTCCAGATGTTTCCTGCACACTCACAGATTCGGAATCAGTTGGCAGTGTTGCTTTCACCTATAATACCCTCTTGATATGAAAATGGGGAACGTTTGTAAATGTCGTCTTGATTTAAAATCCCTCCTAGTAAAAATTTAAATCACTAATTTCATATTATGGGTGGTAAAACATGAAGTTTTATTAACCTGCTCTATGCTGGTCTTCTTCTAGAAAAGTCTTATAAACAATTTCAGTGATTTATTACCTTTTTATAGATTCTGATCCCTCCCAATATTTCTAATGGTAAAATAATTGATGCTTCCTCATTTTAGCTGGAGAAGGGAATTTGACAATGTGTACGTGGATGCCTGAGCTACATGTAGGGCATTTGCTCTGGGCTATTTCCTGCCTCTTGAGTTCAGTTACACTGAGCTAAATACCAGGAAGTTACAGGACTGGTTGTCTGATTGACAGCCAGGGGGGTGTTACCTGGTTAATTTATAAAAAGTGCCAATTTCTGTTGAAATCTGCACTTTTTGTAAAATTTAAAAAAGAGAGCACACATTTGTCACACATAAAGCATTTCAGCAAGCAAGTGTCCTTTTAACATTTCTAATCTTTAACCTTGCAGCCTTGAGCTCCAAACGTTTAACATAAACCCTAACTCTGGTATCAATAACCTAGGCCTGGAACCATAACCTAACTTCTCTAGGCCCAAACCTTAAACTCAGACTCTAACCTTTAACCCCATTAATCCTCGAGTTGTTTATAGCTATAATGTAAGAAGGACTTAAAGTAGCACTGTCAACGCCCCCCCCCTTGCCCCCCCGAACTCTCCTCCCTCCCCCCAACAAATTGAGTATTTCATAAAGATAAAATGTTCATGAATGCTTACATTGGCTGGGTTGGAATTCCAACAGAGACAGAGGATATACTAAAAGAAAGGAGAGACTTATTTGTCTTACTATTTTTCCTATGTTTGTCAAGCAAGACAAAACGGCGGAGCTACGTTTCATCAAGCCTTGTCACTAGTGACAAATAGTGAAAAAGGCTCTGTCTGTGGAATATCATCTTGCGGGTCCTCGATAGACCTTTGTGTTTTACTCTTGCACATAAACAAGAGTACAGTGCTAATATGGACTTCTGGTAGTTGAGGCACCAGGAGCTAAAGAAGACTAACAGAAAGAGTATGGTAGCAGCGACCGTGAGGGACAGGTTCAGGTAAAGATAACTCACCTTCTCCTGCACCTTAGCAACCGGACACCAAGCAGCAAAGTCACGTCGTGGGTCTTTGCAAATTATGCTAAGACTCCAGACGGCGACAGAGCTGCTTTAACAGACAAAAACACTTAACATATTCTACTTCTCAGTACGTTTTCTAAGAAATTAGAAGGTTTTACAATTCTCAGAAGCTTCTATTTACTAGGGATGGAATTTAGGGCCAGGTTCCAGATTCAGGGCTGTCCCCCTCCACCCAGCATCTTGTTTTGGGTAGCGAGTTATTGTTGTTGTTGTTATTTTCATAGAGAATTTTATTAGTTAGGATTTTTTTGACTAACCTAAATTCAAAGTGCTGTCCATATGCTCCAGGTCAGATGATAATTAATGGACTCTATGACAGCGATCGCCATGAAAAACGTCTGCCATTGCTGATGGTGAAACAAAATGCACCTTTTTTTATAAAAATAAAAATGTTCATTCTACTTTAGTAATTACAAGTATGATTTCATCTAAACATTACCTCCTAACCATCTGCATTTATAATGATTCATAGATCACATGTTTATTTCTAAAACTGTAACAAGATTTTATATTTTAAATGTTTTAGTATTCTGTTTTCTCTAGTCCTACCCGGCCCTCAGTTTTACTTTCCTGTATTTTCTTTGTGACAGTTAATGTAATTATCTAATGAGATACTTTGTAACTGTCAGAAGCGGGTCTGTAAGTGTCTTGATGTAACCTAATGACCGGTACATTGACTGGAAGAATTGCAAGAAATGGATTTTACGAGCATCTGAAATGCAAGTTGAGCCGCATTGATATTGACCAAACAAGCAAAACAAATAAAGATTTAATGGTGTTTTTCAATAGGTAGGAAGAGCTCAGTTAGTTTGTAGCTCTTTTTATTTTTATTTTTTACCGAGCAGTAATCAGTTTGTATCTTTCATCTAATACAGATGATGCTGTGCTGTATTATTGATATTCTGTGACTTGCTGTCCAGGCCGCAATTATGCTTCCTCGCGATTAAGATATTTTCTATGTTCCGTTAATTAATTCGCTGTTGTTTTGCATGCATCTTGTTACATCCACTGAATTATTACATTTTAAACAATTCCATTATTTCCACAATTTGTAAGAATGAAGCAAGACAGCTCACAATATTCCATTAAATAATTTGTTTGTTACCTGTAAAGTGACATTATAAATCTGGCTATAAATAACTGCTTAATATTTCCAATTTCAAATTATATGTTGACATTTTATAGCATTTATTACAAAACAAAAGAAAAACATCGAATTAAAAATAGAATAAGAATTTGTGTTGATATGAATTTCTCGAAGGAATGGTATAAATATAAAATAAGATCTTTATATCTCTTTGCAATACATCTTAGCTGCTGACTGTGGTTACATCATCAGTGCATGAGTTATTATTAGTACACTCAGTATTGTATTAGGCACTACTAAACTATTGTAGGTAAATAACATGATATGTATCATATATTAATATATGCCAATCTGCAATGTAATACAATAACCATAGTTTCAAAGATGTTAGGTTTTTTGTAGTTTACAGACCACAGTTGTCCTTTTTAACATTGTAAATCACTGGCAGCAGCCTGATATGCAGTGCTTAGAGGAGGATCACTGGCAGCAGCCTGATATGCAGTGCTTAGAGCAGGATCACTGGCAGCAGACTGATATGCGGTGCTTAGAGGAGGATCACTGGCAGCAGCCCGATATGCAGTGCTTAGAGGAGGATCACTGGTAGCAGACTGATATGCAGTGCTTAGAGGAAGATCACTGGCAGCAGCCTGATATGCAGTGCTTAGAGGAGGATCGCTGGTAGCAGCCTGATATGCAGTGCTTAGAGGAGGATCACTGGCAGCAGCCTGATATGCAGTGCTTAGAGGAGGATCGCTGGCAGCAGTCTGATATGCAGTGCTTAGAGGAGGATCACTGGCAGCAGCCTGATATGCAGTGCTTAGAGGAGGATCACTGGCAGCAGTCTGATATGCAGTGCTTAGAGGAGGATCACTGGCAGCAGCCTGATATGCAGTGCTTAGAGGAGGATCACTGGCAGCAGCCTGATATGCAGTGCTTAGAGGAGGATCACTGGCAGCAGCCTGATATGCAGTGCTTAGAGGAGGATCACTGGCAGCAGCCTGATATGCAGTGCTTAGAGGAGGATCACTGGCAGCAGCCTGACATGCAGTGCTTAGAGGAGGATCACTGGCAGCAGCCTGATATGCAGTGCTTAGAGGAGGATCACTGGCAGCAGCCTGATATGCAGTGCTTAGAGCAGGATCACTGGCAGCAACAATTACACTTTCAAAGTTGTTCCCATTTAAAGTGGAACTGTCACTTAACTGAGTTTTCATTATGTTTGAAGCAGTCCTGAAATAATACTGTCTTGTAAAATACAAGGACTCCAAATTCCAATAAATTAAGTTTGAGTCAAAAACTGTCTGTGTTCTGCTAACCTGAGATAATTTTTTGCAGCAGAATTTGTGTCTTAAAGTTGAATATGGTGGATGAGGTAATCAGGGCCGTCTTTAATATGATTAGGACCCTGGGCAATGCATTTTCTTGGGCCCTGTCCCTGCCACTGCCTCACCCCCCAATTACGTCCAACCCACAATCACACTGACAGACGTACTGGCACATACACACACAGACAGACATTAAAACATTCACAGATACATACTGACACACACACAGTCACTACACACAAATATATACTGGCAGACATACTGACACACACACAGACATACATACATGCATACACAGACACATACATTAACAGATATACTGACACACACACAAACACATACACTGACAGATATACTAAAACACACAGCACATACACTGACAGACACATTGACACACACACACAGGCATACTGACATATACACAGACAGACGTAATGGCTGATACAGACAGACATTAAAACATTCACAGATATATACTGACACACACATACACTGACATACAAATATATCCTGGCAGACATACTGACACACAGACATACATACATACACACACATACACTGACAGACATACTGACTGACACACACATACACACACAGACATACTTACATACACACACAGACATACTGACATACACACAGACAGATGTACTGGCACATACACACAGACAGACACTAAAACATTCACAGATACATACTGACACACACATACACTGACACACAAATATATCATGGCAGACATACTGATACACACACACACAGACATACCTACATACACACACACAGACATACTGACACACACACTGACATACACACACACACATACTGGCACACACACACACACACACACACACACACATACTGACACACACACACACACACAGACATACTGGCATACACACACACATACTGAGACACACACACACACACACAGACATACTGGCATACACACACACACACACACAGACCTACTGACATACATTTAGTCACCCTCCAGGTTCTTACCTTTTCCTGGAGGGTGGTTTCCCTGGTCCAGTGGCAGGCTGAGGCAAATGGGAGTTCTCCTCTCTAACTCCCCTCCTCCCTGCCTTCCTCCTCCCGCGCGGCTATCTCCGGTGGGAGGAAGTGACGTCACTTCCTCCCAGCCGGCTGCAGAACCGGAAGAGGGGCCCGGTCGCGCTGTTTAAGCGCCACGGCGCCCGACCGGGCCCCTGCTGACACATGCTCCCCGGGTGGCCCTTAGTGCATGGGCCACCCGGGGAGCCTCCCGGTCCAAAGGGGCTGTGCAAATCGCGGGGCCCACAGAGCAGCTGCTCTGGGCCCCCAGGAGCAACTGGGCCCGGGGCAGCTGCCCCGTTTGCCCCGCGTTAAAGACGGCCCTGGAGGTAATTTTTGAGATAAATGGCTAGCAAGCATCTGCCTAAAACGTCAAGATTTTCTTTCTAAGAAACACTCTTGGCAACATCAGATCACCATAGAAACGAAAGTACAGTGGTCATGATCTAGAACCAGTTATATGTTATCAATAATTATATTTATTTTTAAATGGCACTGTTATTTTGTTGGGGGGTTTTTGTGGAGGAAAATCATAACAAGTTTTTAAAAAGTTTTAGGATATAACAACTTTATTTGCCACACACAGCTTTTAAACATAACCCCATGCAAGGGGTGTAACACACAGCATACAATGTCCCCTTCCCGGGAACCTAACGCGTGAAAGGGCCTTGTCCCTTTGTCTCCAAAAGCCCGCCACCCAAACACAGGGTTTCCCACACCCGGGGGCAGGGCGATCTTCATCCCATGAGCCTCTGTACCTGGAAGACCAAGAGTGGGAAAAAGAGACCGTCCCTTTGTCTCCCAGGCACTGGTCTCTTTATCCCAGCGGGCACCGCAAAGCTCGCCAAACCCGCCAGTGCACCAGAAGTGCCTACACCAATCTCAGCGGTACCTTCCTTGACCAGACTCCGCTCGCAAGGTCTCTGTGTGAAATCCTGCAAGGGAAGCGTCTCCTTTCGGGATGCGAATGCTCCCACTGGACGGCATTCATCTATTCGAAATGGCGGCCACCCAAGGGAGCATTCATTAAATACTTCCCTTGCGGTTTCACACTTATGTTGCAAGTGCGAACGTTCTGATTAATTGGTGTGAACTTTCTAATGGGGCACTGGGGAGGTCCTCTTTTGGAAAAAATGAACGAGTCGGGAAATAATCCACGAACGCTCCCCCTGGCTGGCGTTTGTCTGTACAAATGGTGGCCAGCATTAATTGCTTCCCTTGCGGTTTTACACTATGCTGCGAGGTGTGAAGGTTCGAAGCCAACATTCTAAATGGGGTATAGGGGTGGTTCCCTCGGGAGGCAAATTAATTCCCTTTGTGGAAGCACTCCCGAACGGGAAGCGAGCAGAAGCATATGAAAAGATGGGAAACACACATAATATCAAACAGGCAATTCACGTACCGGCAGCAGTCCCGCCACAAAAGGGTAAAACAATATTAAACAGTGCATGGCACTCATCAGTGACTGGGTCAGGAACCCCAAAATTCAATGAGCCTGGGGTATTTTACATAATATTACATAGGCTGGAAAAAAAGACTTGTGTCAGTCAAGTTCAGATTTTTGACCTTGAACTATTAAAAATGATATCCTTGAATATTATGCTTTCGCAAGAATGCACCCAGTTGCTTTTAAAAATCTGCACAGACTCTAAACCACCTCTTTGGGCAGAGAATTCCACATTCTTAATGAATTTCCTATCAACCTGCTACAATACAAAGATAAAGTTCCGTCTTTATGCTCCGATTTGATACAAGTTGTACAAAACATTTAAAATAAACGTTTAAAACTTTTAAAAATAATTTTATCCACTCAGAAGAAGACAACGCAACATTTTTTAACTGAAAAGTTATTTGCTTACATTGTATGTTAGTTCAGGTAAATTTAAATCCCTGAAGAATTAGCACTTCATGGTTTTATCTTACTCAGCTGAGTCCTCTTGACCAAAGTTCATCCTTGATTTTTTAACGTTTAGTGAAGTATCACAACACTCTCTATCTATGTCCTAAAGTCTGACTAGTCTCACCAAGGTTGAATTGGAATAATCCCTTCACTTGACCTTAGCACGTCTTTGGATGCTTTAATTGTTTGAGCTGTAGTAAATGTCATTTCCTAGATCCAAGGTTTTGTGATCTAACTGTGTTTATTGAACATTTCGATTGACAAGGTGCTGTCAATGATAACACATCTCACAATACGAGCATTTCATCAAAGGACTGCGAACAGGAGGCTTTTTTGGGTGCTTTCCAGCTCTGTACGTGTGGGATTTCACTAAAGCGAATTGATTTTTATTTTTTCAATTTTTTTTTTTTTTTCGGAACTGAGAAAATGCTGCAGTACTTAGAAAGGTGGTAAACATTTTGACAAGGTGAACTAGAAAGACAAAATACAGCTCTTGTTAAGTGGATCCCTCACTAACGCATTTTTCCCAACAATTGTTTTTCCAAAATGTTTTTTGCATTAATTTCTCATGAAGCTTAAATACTTTAGATGTTACCCATCACATTTATACACTGATCTGCTCAACTGATACATCTGAACTGCAGAGACATACCTAGGTACCATGAGTGGAATTGAACAGGGTGTTGGAGGGAACTAGGAATTCAGTGCGGACTTGGCAGATATTACAACAATCAGTCTTGAGTGCTGCTTCCCTTAATCCTAAACCAAGCCTCTCAAGTGGGACAGCTCTGATTTCCTGTCCCGCCATCCCAGTTTTGTTCCCTAATGTCCGGCACCTGTGGGACAACAGGGAACTGTGCACTGGTAGCACAGTGGGAGTGCATCATTAGATGCACTCACTCTGTGCAGCAGGCTCTACCTGCATAGTCCTTTATGTAGCAGGCTGGTGGCAGGCTGTCTGTGAGCTTGGCATCCTTGTATGCCAGACTCACACATTTCCATCAGTGGGCGGACCCGCCTACTATCAAGGAAGGTGTACCCATTATAGGGAATCGTCACTGACACAGGTTGTGTCACTGACGCAGGTTGTGTCTCTGACAACAAGCCTTAGGAAGACCCCCTTCCTCTTGTCTTGATTCCTCCAGAGGCAAAGTTGGCTAAATACCCTCTAATCCTTAGAGGTGATACTAAAAATGGACACATTATGAATTATTAAATGCAGTGTAACTCCCATCATATTCAATATTTTAAACTCACCCTTGTGATGCCTCTTCCAGATCTTCAAACTGCTAACATTCTCTTACTGTTCATGTATCTGAGGATCGACAGAATGCATAGCCCTCCATTGCCCGTGAACTGTGCCCAATTTCCAATGATTGCATTAGAATGGTTAAACTCTGCTAACTTCCTTTCAAGACATTGAGCTGCGATAATGTCCTGTTCGCACTAGTGGAGCATCATAAATAAGCCACTTTTAGACTAATAATGATTAAGAATCCCATTAGCTAATTTATCTGACCTTGAGATGGGTGGTACTTTTACTGTCAGGCCTGTAATTCATTCCTCCGGTTACTGAATTTAGAAAGCAAATTCTGTATAATACCATGTATCACACTGCGCACCCAATGCTCTGTTATTATTTCCAATTAAATCCTATTTTTGTCCATCCATTTCAAAGCCTTCCTGTAACCTTGTCAGAAGATCATCAGATTCATGCTTATATTCTCTTTTCAACATCTAACACAAAGATAGGCTTCATTTAACTGACAGTCTCTACAACTCCAATCACTTTAGGCAGCCTGCAGTGCTCTGCCTGGCTAATACTCTAGGAAGGGTTGACTGGCGGAGCTAGAGCGATAGGACGCATTTTAGTCAGTAGCCGTTGTCTCTTTTCTTTTAAAAGGTTCACAGGGTTATTCACTAAACACTGGATTTTTTCAAGAACAAAATCTGGGGAAAATTACCAAATTTGGTCGGCCTGAGTGAATCTGCACTAATTGCCTGGATGGATGCATTCGGTGTTCGGATTAAAATTGGTGCCTTGGCATGCGATTTCTATATAATGTAAGGATTTGGAAGATTCACAATATTCACCAATATTAATGAGATTCGGAGCCGAATGCATCCTGCTCATAATATTTTTATTATTTTTTTTTTTTTTAAAGATACAATTGCATGGCCTGATAATACATTTGGTCATATTTATCAAGACAAATACTCAAACTTTCCAACACTGGCAGGTACACATGCAGGAATGGAGGTGGCGTAAGAAAGCCATGAGCTTTATATGGATCACTGGTGACACCATAGACGGTGGGCTGCACAGAAAATGGGACAAAAATTAATGTATGCACTCCAGACTGACTGGGAAGCCTTGTTAGCCATCCCTATTTAGGGTAACCTATGCACAGAGAGCTGTTGAAGTTCTCTTATAAGGGCCAAATTTCCTAAATATATTCTGCACCATTGCTGCTGGATGTTCTGGGGAGTTTTCTGGTATCCCTAGAAATGGGTCACAAGAGAAAAAAAGTGTGAGAGTACCCACAATTGCGAGAGTCCCACTGAATGCTATAGACCAATCATCATGGATAGGATGTATTTTAATATTTAACATTCTAGAATAGCACTTGTTTTGCCCTTTCAAATATGGCCCACTGTGTCAGAAAGAATTCTAGAGAAAACAACATGGAAACCAATGGGATAATGCTGCCCCAACGATAGCAATTTGCAACAGAATTTGTCCTGGGGTTTAAAACCCCACTCACAATCCATAACAGAATCTATGTCATTTCTGTTGCTATGGCAGCAGATTTTATCCAGAATCCACAAGCTAAATGATAATTTATACGTCACAATCGGTTACGCAAAGGATTACAAGATTTGCAAGGTGGACGTGATTGTGGACATCTTCCTAACAGATATTGCAAGGTCAAACGTCACCAATTTTTTTTTTTTTTTAAATGCTAGAAATAAATAAATAAATTAGATTAAAACAAAATAGGTAAAAAAACATTAAATTTTCACTGTTTATTTTTTTCCTTCGACATGAATATATAGTGACGATGACATGATTCCATTTGTTCCATTTGTTTTATCTGTCACCTGCCTTGATGGTCGGAATAATTTGCTCTTGTCTGCTGATATCATGTGAGAAGATGTTTAAATTACTTGTGCAAGTTCCTTTTCGGGGATGTGACACTCATGCCATGGAAAATGTCAACTGAGAGATAAGCAAATCTTTCAGGGAAGTCGCAAAGAATGTAGAACAGATGCTGCAAGTCGTAGGAAAGGTCAATCTGTGAAAGCTTTCTGCTGTGAATCGTGAGTCGCAGGCTCCAAGATGAGGAATTAGGCGAGCAGTTGATGTCACAGAACCACTTGCTCTTCATATTATAGAAAAAACAAGAAATATTGACATGTGCAGAATCCCTATGTGCTTTTCTTGTGTGATGATAACATATAGCTTTGCTTTGTCCTTGCATTAAATACTGAGTTTTATAAACTGCATTTGAACCATATTTTAGAGTGTAATTTTGCTTAAAAAAACAGAACTGTTACATAGATAGATCTTCGTCTTACAAAGATAGATTGTTCATGACAAATTCATAATGACTGCATTACAATTTCAGTGAAATTCCAAAGCAATCCACTGGTATAGATAAGACCAAGCAAGGACCCGTTGGTGAAAATAACCGGTGGGAACGGGCTTCCTTTAGCATGACGCTCAATAGATGACTGTGGTATTTTGTTGCACAAGCATGAAATGACCTATGTCTTCCACAGACTAGAGATCTCGGAGAATCGTCAATAGATCATGTTTTGTACTCTTGCCCGTGAAAGAGAGTATAATAGTTGTAACGGCTCCTGGCAGGTGAAGTGAGTTGAAGACAGTGGTGTATCCTGGTTTTGTGCTGCCCTAGGCCCCACCCGACCCTTCCCCCCGCCTTCTAAATACACACACACATATTCACTGACAGATACGCATACACTCTAACAGACACACACTAACAGACACACACACACATTAACAGACACACACACACACTGACACACACACTAACAGACACACACACACTAACAGACACACACACACAGTCAGACACACACATACACACAGTCAGACACACACACACTAACAGACACAAATTGTCAGACACACACACACACTAACAGACACACACACACACACACACACTAACAGACACACAGTCAGATACACTTACTAACAGACACACACTAACAGACACACACACACAGTCAGACACACACATACACACAGTCAGACACACACATACACACAAACAGACACAAACTGTCAGACACACACACACTAACAGACACACACACACACTGACAGACACACACAATCAGACACACACATACACACTAACAGACACACACAGTCAGACACACACTAACAGACACACACTAACTCACTAGCAGACACACACACACACTAACAAACACACACACACTAACAAACACACACACGCACACACTCACATTAACACATTTTTTTTTTTAATTTACCCCCCCTCCTTACCTTTGGGAATGCTGGGGGGGGTTCTCTATCTCCCTGGTGGTCCAGTGGCTGCGGGCGGCGCTGGGCTGGGCGGGCGGCTGGCGAGGGAGCTCTTCCTCTGAGCTGTCCGCTCAGCTCCCTCGCGCGCCGCAGAGTGAGGCTGGGAGCCGGAAGATGATGTAATATTCCAGCTCCCAGCCTCACTCTGCGGCACGCGAGGGAGCTGAGTGGACAGCTCAGAGGAAGAGCTCCCTCGCCAGCCGCCCGCCCAGCGCCGCCCGCCCGCTCGACATGTCTGTTAGCCGCAAGACATGTACTGAGGTGGTATAACAGTAGACAAGGGAGGAGTAGTAGGAAAGTTAATAGAATTCAAAGGGGTGATTTTAACAATACAAGACTCTTGGCAAGCATCACTCCAAGATACTATTTGTCCTGACTCCCAGTCAAAAGTGGGACTATGAGAATGCAGCCATGGGTACCCTAACACGAGGTGAGATGAAGGAGAAGTGATGATTTCAACCCGAATGGTTTCTGAGTGTAACAACCTTGTAGACATATGCAACGGTTCCTTTTCATGTGTGATAACTGGGGAACATAATGGTCTACCATCTATGGCCTCAACGGCCAAGGCTGTCTTCTTCTCTCTAGTGGGTATGTAATGTTCTTTAATAAAGCCGGAATCTATGAAGTTCTCGGCCTCACCGGAATCAACCAGGGCTAGTATATTCATTGCTATGCTGTTTTCCCCAAGATGCAGGGAAACCGGGAGAAGCAATCTATTAAGAGGCAAATGTGGGGACTCAGATGTCACACCCAAGGCCAGTCCCCTATACGGTCTTAGGTGCAATAGTTTTCCGTACGCACGTGACATTCCTGTCACATATGGCCCTTCCTACCACAGTAAAGGCAAAGTCCCTCTTTTCTCCTATACAATTTTTCAGCATCAGTGAGTTTAGCAACCCCTAACTGCATGGGTTCCTCCTCTGATACTTTGGAACCCTCAGGATTTACAGCTCTAGGTGTATTAAGTGTAACAAGGTGTCTATACCTAGTCTAGGTATATAGCCTGTCACGAATCCTATTATCTATATCGATGAGATAGTCGATAAGGTCTTCTAAGGGTACAGGAAGATCCCTAGCCACTACCTTATCCAATATAGTTTCAGAAAGACCTTCCATGAACGCAGTAGTCAGCCCATTGTTGGTCCAATCTACCTGTGAAGCAAGGGTACCGAACTGAATAGCATAATCGGCAACAGACTTAGATCCCTGTTTAATTCTCATTAACGCCCTGGCAGCATTCTTCGACCTTTTAGTTGTGTCAAAGGTTCTACAAAAAGCCATAAGGAAGCTATTGAAATCATGCACCATAGGTCCATTGGCCTCCCAAATAGGATTTGCCCACTCAAGTGCTTTATCTGAAAGTTGGTGCATAAGGAAACCCACCTTAGACCTATTAGTGGGAAATGTACATGGATACATTTCAAAGTGGAATTCCAATTGATTAAGGAATCCCCTGCATGTCTTGGCATCCCCTCCATACATAGGTGGAGGGGTTAGATGTGCAGAAACATTATGCATGGTAGAAGTGTCTAGTACAGGGGCTGCAGGAGAAGCTGGTACAGGTACCGGAGTCGTTCTGGATAAGAGTGTCTGGATGGCCTGAGCCATCTGATCCATACGGTGATCCTGCTCTACAACTCTAGCCTCATGAGTAGCCATCTGCTGTCCTAAACCTGCGGGGTCCATGGCCCTATCGTAATGTCACGGTAGTGTACCCCAACACGCAAGATTTAGTCCAACAAGAGACAAGTTAAAGAAGATACGTCTTACCGGGCCTTAGAATGGCCGGACTCAACGTAGTACAGAGAAGTGACAGAATCAAGAATCGAGCCGAGGTCAAGGGAACAGAGAGACAGCGAAAACAAGAACTAGCCATGGTCTGGTACACAGGAGTCAGGAAGCCGGCAAACAAGACAAAGCAGGGATGTGAAGAAATTTCCCTATACCTATGTGATTTACAGTGTGCATTCCCTTTTCATTCATTATGTACTGCCTATTGCATTCGGTAGAGGAAACTACCGAATGAGGACCACCCTCTGGCTCATTAAACATCAAAGATTTAAGTGAAATTGCTACCTCTGTCTGTGCGGTCAGCGTTCGTTAGTCGAACGCCACGTGTCAGAGAAAACCGCAGCCATCTTTGTTCATGCGAACAAAGGCAGCGGGACCTGGTCGTCGAGTGCATGGAACTGTTTTGCGGACACTCGACTTCCCGAAAACCGGTCCCAAACAGACGAACGCTGGAACTCTATTTACAGAATAGCTAGAAGAGCGCTATTCGGTACTTTGGTGCATTCGACAGAGGGGCACGAACGCTGCTAGGAGCCAGAGGGATCCATTCAGTACTTTTCTTAGTTTTTATGTTTTTCAAACATGACCGGCAAAACCCACCAAATTCGTGGAACTGTTTTGGGCATGCAACCCATGGTGAGCCGGTCACACAAGACTTCTATAAAATTTGCGAACTTCTGAACCGATCTGGATGAAATTCGAATATGTTGGTCACCCAAATCAGGGCTATCAGGGGACACATAATTTATGGGGATACCCCCAGTATAAAGGGGTGTTCTGAAAGTTGGGGAAAAAATTGATTTTTCAGCCCGGAGATAATTAAGTTACTATTTTATCAGACTAAATTATCTCCTGGGCTAGGGGAGAGAATTGTAGGTGTGTGCTAACATTTTACTGTTTATGATTGGCTATTGTTTGTCCCTCCCTGAGGGCTGTCCCCTTACATGGGGTCTTGCATAAAAGCTGTGTGCACCTATTAAAGCTCAGTTCATTTTGTACCCTTCTTCTTGACTTCAGCTGCTGTTTGGGGATTTGTGTGTTTCACTAAGGGAATTATCTTATGAAGCTATTGGAATTACTATAGGATTCGTCTACCCTATCTACCGAACGGAGGGCTATAATCACTAAGGCTCTGGCGGTTCGGGAGGAAACTACCGAATGAGGTTGGAATATACTTGGTTTCCTTACAAGGGATAAAGAGAAAAAGAGAAAAAGAGAAAAAGAGAGTCAGGTACAAAGCCAAGGTCATGCACGAAAAAAACACTACTGAACAATACAAGCACTAAAGGGAACTGAGGCAGAAACCACGATAGGGCAAGGAGCTAAGGGAAAGGTGAGTATAAATACCCTAGTGTTCAATTTAATTGGCCCCAGTCATATCCACGCCCCGGAAACGTAAGTGTATGGGAAATGTGGAATGACATGGGCCAATGGGAGACCATTTGACATTTCGGCTCCCACTCTCCCTTTAAGAGCGCGTCCAAGACGCGCGGCGCACTTCAAGAGCCAGGCGAGTCACGTGACCGCATCTCGCGGTCAGTGCACGCCTTCCTGATTTCTCCATCGGACGAGCCGCGCGTGGCTCGTGCAGATGCAGGACCGCGCACAGCGGGAACAGAGGACCTCAGCCGGCACCCAAAATTGGTCAGGAGATACCAGCCTTTTGCTTTAATATGGAGTCCTAGGAGTTCCATTTTGTTTATTTAATTATTCTAATAAAAGAGAAAGACAATCAGTTTGAGTGTGAGGGAGACAACTGTCTCTTTCTATGATGTACAAAGAGTTTGCAATTGTTAACTTTACTTTGTATAAGTTTGTCTACATGCAGATAAACTTTGTAGTTTAGAAACAGACCTTACTCACCATTGTTAGCGATAGCCATTTTGGTGAATAGCAGCCATTTAACTTGGAATCAACATTGGAAACGAACCCAAAAGGTGTTAAATCAGTTGTGCAACAACTTGGTTGTAGCATAATTTAATTAAAACATTTGTTTTAAATCTTTAAAGTCCAGATTCTCCTTAAGGTATTCTGCCGATGTCTAAGGACCTGTACGTCTGAAACGCGTTAGGTGTTCCATGTGACCTTTCCGTCAGTTTGTTACTTTTTGTTTTGTGCTGATTAAACCTCCTGTGGACTTCGAGCGCTTGCAGTGGCACTATTTCTATTTCTTGTTTTTGTTTTAGAATTATACCTCCAGATAAACATGCTGCAGTTTTTTACTATTTGATAACTTGGGTTCTAATA